TTACATTCTTGCCAATGGGACTTGCCATGTTGACATCAGTAACGATAATGTAAAATTCACACTATGCCACAAAACAAGAACATGGGTGACAAACTGGCTAACAAGCACCATCAATTTGAAGATTAGCAGTTACAAGAGGACATTTGAAATTGTATAGCTCATATACGTACGGCAGAAACTTCATTGAGATCTTCTCACATTTGACAATACTCCTCAATATTGACACAAGTTTCCCAATAGTGGAACGTGTTCCAAAGGCAAAAAATAAACAGTTTCTAAACTACCAATAATGCAGAGAAGACGTATTACCAACCCTGGGAGAGGCAAGACTAGACCTTTCATTGTCACGTCTCTATAGAAAAGGGTGCTGTGTGACTCTTACGTGGAGCAGCACCATGGAGTGTGCAGCTAAACATTTACGAGAAAAAGAAGTATAGGATGTTACTGGGCATTTAGTTTAGAAAATATTTTTATTAAAAGAGCAAAGTAAGAATCCTGGGGTACCATGCACTCTGAGAAACCCCAGCCTGGCCCTCGGAGGTGGGAGATGGGCTGCAGCACTCATGGAGAGCCTGAGGTGAGTCTGTGTCAGTTCACCCCCTGTGCTCTGGCCTTGAGCTTCCTTTCCTCAGGAAAACTGGGACTCTGCTGTCACTCAGTGTTCAGCTGCAGGACAGGACCTTGGCGTTTCATGTCACTTCTGCCATACATGGGTGGCGTTACAGCTCAGTCACTGAAATGTTTACCTTAGAAATGGCCTAAAACGTGCTCAGACCTGGAGTCTAGATTTTCAACCACTGTTTTAAGGTATAATTTGGAAATGGAACTGATTGAATGGAGAAAGAAAACACTCAATGCCTGCTGCTTAATCTGATAATCATTTGCAAACACATTCTTTTGAAATTAATAGGAGTCGATTAACCTTCATGACCTGAGATTTTATGTGAAAACGAGTCATTCAACTAGTATTTGTTAAGTGTCTACTAGGTGCCAGGCTCAAACCAAAGTCTTTTCTAGGGGACAGAAATGGCAACTGCAGAACAAAGGGGAAAACAAACCACTCTGTTGAATGTGGACTGAGGTTGTCACTTCTATTACAAACCCAGGGTGGGGAAAGTTTAACTGGGTTTCCTAAGATCATTTTAAAATTCCTCGTTTAGGAAATTAACAACTAATATTTTGTTGAAGGCACAAGCACCATCTATTTAGGAAAACTCACAGAAAAACCTCCAGAGGGAAACTAGTGTTTCTAACCAAGGACAACGACTAAAAATTGATTCCACAAGTCTGTAGCAGTTTTAAGTCCAGTCTTGGCTCCTCGTACCCAGTGCCCTGATCTCAGGTTAGAATCCCCATGGTCTGTAAGCCCTGAGCCACTGGGCCTGGCTTCTCAGCAAGTTTACAGCCAGTGTAAGTGAATCCATGGGGAATGCGCAAACAGCTTCCTGTGGAGAGATTTGCTTTAAAATAACCTTCCAATTGTCTTCTCCTTTCAGTAACAGCTACAGTGTTATTAGTTAGTATACTAACTAAGGGTAGATGGCGTTATTCCTGTTTTCTTTACAGATAAAGAACACAGAAGCAGAAGTCATTTGGGCTTCTCAAGAGGCTCTTTAAATACCATTTACTTAGGCAGCAGGTCCTCCTTCAGCTTTCCTATTCCCTGCTTTATTCTATTATTGGACATGATGGCAGGTGCTGCAGTGACCTCACCGTACCATGAGGCAGCATGAAGAAGGGCAAAGCAGAAAGAAAAGAGGAGTCTGGGAACTTGATGATGTCACAGTGTCACCATACTGACCCTGGACTGTCTACCTGCAATCGTTTACGTGAGTGAAATTATACCTTTCTCTTACCTAACACTGTTATTTTCAATCTCTGTTATTTGTAACCAATCATAATTCCTCTTTGAAACAGATGAAAAGGACGCATTTCTCTGGATATGGGACATCATGTCAAGAAGAGTTTTTAAAAAATCGTATATTCCCAACCTTGAACTTCCTCTGAAAATGTCCTGATATATAGAAATTCACATAAGACAACCGCTTTGTGGACAGCTTTTGGGACATTCTCCACTCCAAATGGCCACCACTTCCATTCCGGAATGGCTAACCCTTGACCTTCGTCTCTAAAATTGGTTCCCTTCAAGGTCACAGCTGTGGCTTGCAGTTCATGCGGCTGTTCTGCTGCCTGCACCCTGGACCGCTCCGTCCCGTCCTCGATGGGAGACGGGCGCTTCCTTCCCTCCCCACAGGCTCTGGCTCCTGCCTTTGCCGCCCTCGACCCGGCTCTGACCTCACAGGGACGCGCTCTGTGGACTCTGCCCTCCCCAGAACTCCTTTCCCCGGTATTCTGAAGCCTGGGAGCAGAGTTGCAGAGGCCTGGAAATGTGGAAGATCAGGGCCCGTGGCTAAGAGTGCCTGCACATAACAGCGGGTGGCAGGTGCAAGTGACAAGGTTTTCATGGTCAGCTCAGTAGCATTCACAAGGACCTGATGAGGGTGGCTCTGCCCCCGCCCCCGACTAACAGGTGCAGATATGGACACAGCGGCCCCAGGCGCACATCGAGTGGTGGCCACGGGAGTGACTCCAGGGCTGTCCCTCTACCATGCTGTCGCTCCTTCTCTGGCAGTCCTGCTCCCCAAGATCCATGTGTCCCTCTTCAGTGACAAAGAATGCCAGCTTTTCGGGGACACTTAACTGCTTCTTTAATTTGTCCAACACCACACCAATTCCTTCGGGACACCTCCTATCCAGGAGAGGCTGTCTCTCTTGCCAGGTACCCGCCCTTCTTGTTTCGTTCCTCCTAGCTCTATATGAATCTAGGCATCAGCCCTGCCCCTTGGGAATCCCAGGCTCATTGTCCAACGTTCATTTGAAGACAATTCCTTGCTTTTGCCAATATCCACAGGGCACTACATTTCCCTTATGCTAGTCAGTGTCACTTACTTAACTTTAAGGCCTCTGTTAAATTCCTTCTGAACTCGGTGATATTAACAACAAGAACAAAAATGTCTCTTAGTCCCAGTGCTCAGCTCATGACTAAGCACGCGTCTGTCTTTTCCCCAGTGCTGGGAGCCGTGCGGGCTGCACTGCGGTAGCTAATTAACCTCACAGCTAGTAACACTGTCAGGTCCTCCTTTATACTGGGGTTATCCTATTTTTGTTCTTATTGCTATGCTTTGATTAAAGATTGTGATGTGCCTTAAGTATATATTTTGAAATAGATTGACAAGAGATTCTACCCATAAACAGAGCTATCCCCCAGTGCGCACTCTGTGGAGCGCAGGTTTAAAGCCATCATGAGGTGTCCCGGGAACAGTGTCCCCAGGGAAAACGTGAGCCCTGCAGAGACCACATCTGGCCCCTAGCGGACCGCTTCAGTCATCAAGTTTTCCCAGAAGAGAAATCTTTTGAAACATTCGATTCAGCCTTCTCCACATCTACTTGACCCTGAGAGTTTTTCCCCCTGAAGCCTCTTCAGCCGTCTTTTCTTGTGGTATAACTTGTGGGGAACGCTGCCAGTTTGGGAACCGTGGAAATACTTGTCCCGAAAGTTGTGGGCTGGAGCCACATCCAGTGGCTGTGACTTCTGCTGGGCCGAGCTTGGGCTCCCGGGTGCCCTGGACAGCCCGGGAGGAGAGTTCCATCCATACATGAATCTTGCAAGGCTCCTGAGGTGTGGAGGCCATGGGAACCAATGGAGCACTGAGAGGCCCCTGGCCCCCAGCCACCCTGGGCAGCCCTGGGATTCCTCGGGGACCCAGGGGTCAGCTGGGCACAGAAAGGCTTTGGAGGGTGGGACCACCAGCATCAATGAGGAGCTTACACTGCAGTTGTTCATGGCTCCCAAGCCCCAGCACCTGGCTCACTCCAGGTCTCTGCTGCATCCTCTGCCCTGACCTAGGTGCTTTTCTCAGAGCTGTGTGTGTGTGAGAGAGAGAGACTAAGGACTGAACCCAAGACTTTTGCTGAGCTACATCCTCAATCTTTTTCACTTTTTCATTTTGAGACAAAGATCTCACTACTAAGTTGCCCCCACTGGGCTCAAACTTGCAAATCCTCCTGCCTCAGCCTCCCACAAGGTTGGGGTTATAGGCGTGGGCCACCATGCCCAATTTAACAGTAAGCTGCACATTTGTAGAGCGTGGTTAATGAAACCAAACTCACACAGTCAGAGGAGGCCACAGAGGGGAAGGGAGTGTCATGGGGGCACAGGCAAGGCTCAGCAACTCGGAGGCCTCCCTCCTTCCCCAGGCTCCTCACTAGTTGGCAAGAAGGGGGTCAAGTCTTCAGCCCTGGCTCTGACCCTCAAAGAAGCCATGATCCCAGCATACTCCCATCAGATGCACAGTGCAAATGATGTCCTAGTTTGTGTACAAACTCAGCAGCCAAATGTGATCTTATGTCCTCAACCCTTCCCCAGACGTTGCTCCTCTGGAACAAGGGGGAAGCTGCACACAATCCATAACCATAGAAGCACAGGAGCCGGGAATAGATAATGGTTCTCCTAGACCAGCTCACTTGGTTGTTATTTATAAGTTCCTGGGCCGGGCCATCTTGTTATTGGCAAAGAAATCTGCTTTACCTCCTTGCTGCTATTCTATCTGGCCTCTCAATCTGTACTTACTGAAAAAAATCGCTATTGTCATGCTAAAATCACAATGGCGCTTGCATAATGCAGTGCTAAATAACACCCATAAAACTATGAAAATGGCACATTGGCATTAAGAGTTATTTTCTTACGGACTTTCACAAGATTCAGTGCTCTCGTTCTCAAGAGCTCTGCTTTGGTGTTTTAACTTTACACACACACACACACACACACACACACACACACCAAAAATGTGAGGCAGAATTCCCGCAGAACTCCATCGTCTCTCCCACAGAGGAGGGATGTGATTTTGCAAGCAGGAGCTAGCAGCCACTACAGTACACAGATTACTATTGATCAGCAATTGCGGCTGTGAGCTGTGTGGTGGTATTCAGCAGAGATTTACCTCTTTCTTGGTGAATTTTGGCGAGTGGTCATTTTTGTCATCAATCACCACCGTGGCAGTGGCTGTGCCTGTTAACCCAACGTCCAGTCCTGCCATATCTTGGGCCTCAATGATCAGCTCATACTTGGGGTTTTCCAGAGTCTGCAAAGCAAAAACACAGCAGAGGAGATGGCATTTAGATTTAGGTTACTGCTTGGGAAGGTGGCCAGCACATTGGCCAGCTGCCCCTGCCTGCTCCATCTCGGGCAGGCATCTGTAGTTGGGCACATTTTCACCTACCGGGTGCTTCTGCAACCTCTCCAATATGCTGGTCACTATCACAGGTTGGAGATGGTCCTGGGAATTGGATCTACTCACTGCCCTGGTTTAAGGGGACATCTGAGACAGTCCAGAACACTCCATTCTGGGTTTGGGTTTGTATTTGATGTTCACACCCTACTAGTCATTTCACAGTGACTTCCTGAAGCTGATCTGGACACAAAGCTAACTTTGGTGATGAAATCAGGACAAAGATGGTAGCTTTGGGAGCTCACATTTGCTGAAATTTCGGACAAACTAGGCTTTGGATTCCTGTACTGTACAGAAATGACTGTGCTCATCTTTCCAACAAGCATGTCAAACTGCAATCATTATTCCCATTTTACAGGTGGGGAAAACCAAGTGAGGCTTAGAGTCACTTATACTGGCATTGTCTTTTCAGTCTCCCAGAATGTTAAATTGGAAGATGCATTTTAATCCAACCGTGATCTGATAAATTTAACATAAGAAATACTGTACTATTGTCTCCTTTCATATACACGTGGTTTTCACTTTGACCGCTGGACAGATACTGGGCGACCCTTAAACATCCCAAGCAGCTAAGCAGACAGCAGCAATGTGGAGATAATGATGGCAGTGGCTGGCAGCCAACAATGTGCACTCAGCTGCCATTAGTGGACACTCCATGCTAGTCTTCTACTGGTGCAGTGGCACCCCCGTTTCCCTTGGCGATCCTCGATTACTCTGCCCGTGTGGTTTGGCTTGGTTGTCTGTACCCAGCAGACTGCTAGCATGAGTCCCTGTCACAGAGGTCAAAGGGCACTTCCCATCCGAGGGCCAGACGCTATGCAGGCCCTGCCCTGTGCTCAGCAGTGGGGAAGGGAATCCGGATCCCATTGTCCATGGTGTGAACCTCGACTCAGTCACCCTCTGAGCCAGATGAATCGTCCTGCCCCACAGCGGCTGGGGGCAGAGAGCCGGCCTGAGAATGAAGCCAGGTTAGTAGGAAAATCGCACGTGCCCCTTGGAGAGAAAGGAATGGTTCAGGGTGGCTGGGTTGGAGCCATTTCATCACACCGTGCCTGGGGCCAGTGCCACCCAAGGACTTCCCAGCTAATGAGGGCATTCATTTTAATTGTTTTCTTAAACCAATTTGGATTGGTTTCTTAATCACTCACACAGAAAGTCTGAGTTGAACTACGTTCAATAACAAAAATAAAAGGTGTTTACAATGGCATAAACTGCCCCACCAGCATTATGGCTTCTAAACCCCGGGGGTTATACCAGCTGGTAATTAAGACATAGCACAGGGAGCAGAGATCAGAAAAGCAATGGGGATCTCAGAGGTCCTTCCAGAGCCAGCAGCTCCCACCGCCAAAGGACTAGTTTGGGTCTGGCTCTCCCCAAAACTTTCAAGTCTCTTTGAAAGGTGGTTAGCTGTTTGCTCCCATGGGCCTCTAAGGGGTTATTCCTGTAACTAAAAGTTTCTGAGCTGAGAACTTAAGGAGTACTGGTTTGAACAGTTGGGTAAAAGTGCATGACCAGAGGGGGATGCTCATGTGTTCCTTGTACAGCTCTGCACAGGACATTTTGGTTCTCGAGGGGTGGGGGGCGGAAAGGGAACCACAAGTGAAGTTCTCTAACTGCTGAGGGCAAGTAGAATTCTGGCAGCTGTGCTGTAATTCTCTTGGGGCGCCACCCTTCCTGGGGTGGAGTTCAGGTAGGGCTGACTCCAGCCCTAATCTAGGGATGGCCATGTGGCTCAGGCCTGGGAAGCCAATCAGGGTTTCCCATTGTTAGGGCCATCTGATGGATACATAACCTAAGAGTCCACCCAGAGACTGAAGTTCAATTCTAGGCCAGCTTTCTTTTAGGATGCTTAGGGAAAAGCAGCTCTCTTTCTGTGGAAATTGATGCTGGCCGTGCACCAGTCTGGAGGTGGTCATGGCCATTTGCACCCACACAGAGAAAGCCAACATGAGAACGCAGGTAACACAGACTGAGAGGTGGAGGTGGAGTCCTTTTAACACGATTGGAGCCCACAGAGCAGTCATCCTGAAGCCAATGTGCCTCTCAGAGTCTGTGAATTCTAGAAGCCAGTAAATTTCTCCTTTCCTCAAGACGCTTGATTTACATGTTCTGTGAGTAGCAACCAGGCAGTTTTGACTAATATTGCAACTAATGGTATGATCAATTATCTGGTTATTAGCAAGAAAGCATAAGAACTGTCATATCATACCACAATATCAACAGTAGGCTCTGCATGACAGGGCTCTAATCCTTTCATGAATACATTTTTTTTTTTTTACCATTTTCCCCTGCTCAGAAATAATTCTTTTTTGCCCAGAGAATGTTACTATGCTTTTTTTTTTTTTTTTTTTGGTTTATGTGTCTGCTTAATTGGCACTCAGCGAACAACCTGTCTCAAAGTTGTTCTGGGTGCTAGAGACAAGAGCGGTGGGGAAATTGGACCCTTTTCTTAAGAAGGTCAGAGGTCAAGCCTGAGGACAGTCCCATCCCCCACACAGGCAACTGCAGGGAATCTCGGTCCCCGTTACGCAGAGGCACAGAGGCATGTGCACATTCCAATGACAGTGCCAGGGAGGACACACCAGCGGGGCTCTTTTGTAGTTTGACAAAGTTTATAAATAATTTAAAAAAGTGAACCTGTCAATTCTCATCTCCTGAAGTAAATAAAACTTTATAGCTGTAATGGGAAATAAATTGATTAATCTGGTAGAGAATCAATTAGACTACGAAGCAGATAAATTGTAGGGCTTGGCATGAATTATTCCAAAAGTCTCAATTTTTCTGGCTAACATTAAAAATGTTTTTATTGCTGAAATATTTTCCAATGATTGTAAGAAAATCAAAATGATGCAGTCATTTCTAAAGTGGGAAGTTAGGGTCCTTCACCACCCTTAGCCAACTCTAGTCCTAGGATGCAGTCAATATCGACAGTGGCCTGGGTATCTCCCGCCTTCTTCCTACATATCACACACAACACGCACACGCTCACGCACACACACACTGTAATGCACACATACTTAGTACACATTTACACACACATATGTAAACAGAACACTACCCCCCAGCTATACATTGCATTTTGCCATCTCACTTTTGTCTGAGTACTTACAGGTCTGTCTACCCACGTTCACAGCTGAGCAATGGTTCAGTGAGTGAACTGACCATCACTTACTCAGTCCACCCCCATCACTGGGGCTGATTCCAAGTTTCACCACTAAAGGCAACTCAAAGATCAAAAGCTGCCAGTGTTTTGGGATTTTTCCATAATGAACATGAATAAGAACAATCATTCAAACAAATAACCAATAGTAAAAGTACCCTCCTGTGAAATGCAAAAGGCCCAGTCCTTATTTAAAAATGAGAGAAAATGCCACATGGATTTCTGAGCTTTCCCATTCCTCCTGTCTGATCCATGTTCCCCTTTGGCTGATCCTTTTCTGAGTAGTCCTTCCCTACCTCCCCTGTCACTCTTCCTTGAAATACACATACTCAGTGCCATCTGTCTTGCTCACCAGTCATCCTGCATCTTTACCCTGCCAGACCAGACCCTGTGTAGCTGGGCAGCTATCCGTGGATGACCCTTCTCTGCCAAACACCCTTGGTGCAGAGAAATGCGCCCTAGTGACCATGAGTTGCGTCTGTCTCCCTTGGTGTCTTAGTTACTTTTCTTGTTGCTGAGACAAAACACCCAACACCCAAAGTTAAAGGAGGAAAGGCTTATTTGACCTACAGTTTGTAGAGGTTTCAGTCCATAGTCAGCTGGCTCCACGGTAGGGTAGTATGGCAGAGGGGCACCACAAAGGAGAAATAGTGCATGGCAAAGTAGGGCAGGCAACAGAAGCCCTTGTTCTGTCCTTTATATCTTATCCAGGCCACTCACTCTTAGGGCAGGTAGCATTCACACCCTTAATCCTAGCATTGCACCATGACTCAGTCCCAGCATCACATCCTTGATCCAAGCATCATGCACTCTAGATCTAGCCACCTCTGAAAAGCCCCACCTATGACTGCATGAGGCTTTGTCTAGATATACGTGGTAATATGTGGCAAGAGTTGGTGGACTCATGCTCACTCCCAATGCACGCTGGGACAGGCAGATTCTGGCGATAGGGAATGTGGAGTCAAGAGGCATGGAGAGAGTGGAGGGTGAGTCCTCTTGCTTTCTCCACACAACTCCAGGGCCAAGAGGGGTTTTTGCCTTCTTGAATGTTTCAGTAGGAAAATCACTACCCTCATGTTTCTCTCTGCCTACACGAGAGGCATCTGCCTCTGGGAGACAAGACCTTGCCTGTCTAGCTGCCCTGTCCCTAGATGAGTGGACTGAACAGGGCAGCGGTCAGCCGATGGTCCTCCCAGGGTCAAACTGTACTCTCCATGGGCTTCTTTTGACCTTGTATCTATCTGACTCAAGGCTCAGAGGAGGGGTGGATGCAGTCACCTCCAACTCTATGTCTGTCTGGTCTAGAGCTCAGAGGAGAGGTGGCCCTCCAACTCCAGAGAGCTTTCATGCTGAGTGGTGCCACCCAACCAGAAAGATACGGGCCCTAGTCTCAGGGTTTGCCACCCCCCAGCCAGCTTCAGCTCTTTCTTGGATTCTGTAACACATCCCAGTATTTACCTATGAGGTTCTCTGAGGCACAGAAGCAGCCAGAATCAGTTTTGGTTGTCAGCAGCCAAAGGCACCCATGGTGAAGATAATGCCATATGTTCACCAACTCCTACTTCCTTGGACTCAGGGAGCATGAAGCCCAACCAGCCTCCCAGCTTGTGTGCAGTGAGGTGAGCTGTGGGACTGACGCTGGCCAATGGATGCAGGTACGTGTGGTGCCCCGAACCTCCCTCCACCACCATTT